CGGGGGCAGCCGAGGGCAGGGAGTGGAGCTGGGGAGGGGGGGTCACTGCAGGAGCTCCAGGCTCACGGCTGCTGCGCATCCACTCGCAGCCCGAGGTGCCGCGGGGGTACCAGCTGCATCCCGAGGGATCACCGACCGCATCCCCAGCGCCTCCCTCAGCACGTCATGCAGCGCGGGCGGATGCTGCCCGAGGGAGGGTTGGGGTCGATCTGCAAAGCCAAGTTGGGTGTGAAAAAAACCTCGGGCACATCCCAACCACCTCCACCAGCCCTCCCAGCCCAGGGTGGGGGGTGTTTCTCACCTCCGAGTACAGCGGAGGTGGCCGAAAGCGGAATTCCTGGATGTAGGCAAAGAAGGGACCTTCCAGGATGTCTCCGAGTTGGCTGCGGCACGGAGGAGCCAGGGTGTGCTCAGCCTCTGGGCTGGACACGACTGCTGAGTATTCAGGGGGAGCTGAAGGGAGGAGAGAACCATCAGGGAAGAGGGAACTCCATCAATGGGAGACGTGCAGGTAAAAAGGGTCTCAGATGCGAAACTCTTCCCAGGTCCCTGGGGATGTAACTCAGGAGATGAATCGCAGAATGCCAGAGTGGTGGGGTTGGAAGGGACCTCTGGAGATCATCTGTCCATCCCCCAGCTAGAGCAGGATCCCCTAGAGCAGATCCCACAGGAACACAGCCAGGTGGGTTGGGAATGTCTCCAGGGATGGAGACTCCACAACCTCTCTGGGCAGCCTGTCCCAGGGCTGTTACCCTCACAACAAAGAAGTATTTTCTTATATTTAGGCTAAGCCTCCAGTTTGTGCCCATTGCCCCTTGCCCTGGCACTGGGCACCCCCGAGCAGGGTCTCACCCCACAACACCACAACCAAAAACTGAAGCGAGAAAGCAAAAGCTGGTCCTGGTGCGGGAAACAAGGTTGAGAACTTGCTCTGACCCTTGTTCCCCACAGCAGGGTACAGCACCCAGCCAGATCCCAGGGGAGGGAGAGACTCACCCTCCAGCTGCTCCGGGATGGGGCTCAGCCAGTCCAGGTTGATGCTGAACTGGCTGCTGACGCTGGACGTGCGGCTCCCGAACGGATGCAGGGGGATGGTTCCGATGACAAGAGGCAGTTCAAGGAGAAGCTTGGATGTCCCAGGAATATCCACACAAACCTGCAGAGACAGGAGGCAAGGGAAAGCTTAGGGAAGACAGGGAAGTTTAGCTGTTGGTGCTTTCCCAGTCTGGAGGGGAAGGTATTTCCCCAGAGCACTGGCTTGGGCTGGCCGGGGGGGGAATTCTAGTGGGATGGAAATGGAGGTGTAAATGCTCCTGCACAAGTGGGATTGGGGCAGTGAGGGAAAGGGAACGCTCAGCCCTGAGCCACCTGCAACGCTCCCCACGAGGTTCCCTCACCTTCAGGGAATATTCCACCTGGATGATGCGGCACTGGAGGATGGAGGGACCCACCGGCGGGATCTTCAGCGCCCTCCCGTGCCAGACTTCCCGCTTCCCCGCGGCCACGGGGTCCCCAGCAATGCTGGTCACCACCGACCTCTTCTGCTTCTTGGTGCCCCGAGCGATGAAGGTCTGAGTCTGGACAATGGCCACCTTGGGCAGCACCGCCCGGCTCGTGCCGTTGTCGATCTCAGCAAAGATGGGGATGACCTCACCTGCCAAAAGAGATGCAGGTGTTGGAGGAAGGGCAAAGGAGCCCAGTCCTGCCCCAAGGAATTCCTGCAGAGGATCACTGGGTGGTGCTACCCAGCACGGCTGCCACAAGGGTTAATCCAGCAGCAGCCTGCCCCACGGAGGCTGCCCACAGCTGGTGGACACACTAAAGCTCTTAAAGAGTGATGTTGTGCCAGAATTCAAGAGCCCAGCTCACAGTGAGCCCACATATCCCCCCTGCTGGGGTCTATACCCACATATCCCCCCTGCTGGGGTCTATCCCCACAGAGGTTCAAGGCATGTTGGCTCACCTGGGGTGTAGCCTTTTCGGTCAATCTTGGCAGTCACAGACACCTGGCCACGGTTGCAGTACCAGGCACGAGCAAGTTTCTCCTTAGCACCTGCCTGGGGGGCCTGGAGAAAGGGAAATATTGAAACGATTTAGTAAGAAAGGATGAAACTCAAAGCAAGCACCTCCCTGGCACTGAGAACCTGCTGGGGAGCATCAACTGCTTCCTCGGCATCTGATGCAAGATGCTGTTGCAATGCACTGAGGTGCACTGAAGACCTAAGAAGAACTAAGAGGCACAGGTGGCCTCTGCCCAGCCCAGGTAAAGCTGGAGGGCACGAGTTAGAGGGGAAAAATGCTCCCTCTGGACCAGGCTCTGCGTTGTAACGCCGGAGGGGAGGCAGACACCTCCCCCCTGGGGTCCCCAGGGACGTTCTGGGTGCTGCTGCCCTGAGGTGGAGCAGGAGGAGCTCACCAGGAGCGCGGGCGTGTTGATGTCGATGGGCTCGATGACGGTGAACTCCTTCTTCACCTTCTTCACCGGGGCCCAGGGCCTGCGCAGCTTGGCCTTCACCCAGTAGCGCACGCTGCCGTGCTTCCCCTCGAAGGAGGTCGCCAGGCTCCTGTGGAGAAGCAACCACCAATTCAGCAGGGTTTTGCTGAAGGAACCTTGTACTGTGCCCAGGAGCGGTGTCGCCCAGCGCTGGCCCCGTTCCCCCCTCTGCATTTAGGGCACCAACAAAACGTCCACTCACTCGGGGAGCTGGAAGGTGAAGGGGAACTCGTGCCTTCCTGCCTGCAGGACGGTGACTTCGCCATTGTCTGTGGGCAAAACAGATTGAGGGTGGTTATTTCCCTCCTGCAAATCTTCCTTCCCGGGCAAAGCAGTGGCAGAGACGTACGGTGCTCAGGAAAAGAGCAGCAGGATGGCACGGGAACGTTCCTGCCAGGCTCCAGCTGCAGCAGCAGCAGCTGTGACATGAGCCAGGCAGGACCCACGGGTGCCAGGCACTGTTTGCTCCCTGTGTGTCCCCAGGCACCCACGACCCAGGGACACCCCCTGGCAGAGCTGGGCAGGGTGGGCTCTGCTCACCCCACACTGTGGCTTGGGAGCCAGAGCCCCAAGCTGCCCAGCTGAGCATGACCAGCCAAGCCTCACCCCTGTGTCCCCTAGACTTTGTACCCCCCACCCTGCCTGTGTGCACCCAGACCTTAAGGCACCCAGATTGCAGGTGGGGGGGTATCATGCACCCAGCAGCTGGGGGGTCCCAGGCCCCCAGATTGCAGCCAGTTGGGGTGCCTGGAGCACCCAACCCCTGAGGTGTCCCATGCTGACCCATTGCAGCCAGCTGGGCTATCACACACCCAGCAGCTGGGGGGTCCCAGACACCCCGAGTTCAGCTGTTTGGGGTGTCATGCACAGCAGCCAGAGTTGACCCAGGTTTCAGTGGGTTGGGGTGTCAGGTACCCAGCAGCTGGGGGGTCCCAGGCACCCAGGTTTCAGCAGGTATGGGTGCCTGGAGCACCCAGCACCCTAATTTTCCCGTGCACCCAGATTTCAGCAGGGGGGAGAGGAAGCAGCCACGCACCCAGCAGACGGGCAGGGCTCCCAGGCCGCCCCATCCA